TTCTTCCATCTAAAAACAGCTTTTTATTCTGGTAAAAAGTTGGCAGCACTGCTGCCTGCAGTCAGAGTAACTTGAATGTTCGATGCGAGCGCCTTGCAGCCAGCGTCTGTGTAAGTTCGATCGGACTTGTAAGTTGTATACTTAAAAGCGCTGCATACGATTGGCCTCAGCTGACCAGTGAGAGTCTCCCTGTTAGCTCAAATGTTCGATCGGCGCTTGGCATGCAGCCACAACATACACTTCGAACCGAGCTGTAACTCGCTGCCTACGAAAGACTAAGCATACTCTCTCTCTCTCTCTCTCTCTTCGTCTTTTCGTTAGCATACATGCTCGAACGACGCTGCGCACTCAGTCGCAACATTCCTTTCGAGCGTCTTTAAGTCTGCGCACAAGCGCCATTCGTCTCTCACGAAGTTTGATCGGCGCTCGAGCTTTCTACGAGTTGCAGCCTTCGCGGTTCGCAGGTCTGCGCAGAAGTGAAGACCAATCATGTTGTCAGTCAAGACGCGCAAGCCTCGGTGGAAGCTTATTTATGCGGCGATCTTCGATAAGATTTTTGGTTTGCCATGACAGCCAAGCGCATTAATGGATTCTATGTGCCGCGACTGAAACGTGTTTGAAATTCGCAAACAACAAAAGCATATTCGTATACAAAAAAGAACTGTGAAAACTTTGTTTGGCCCAAGCGACCAAAAGGAAAAAGTGTGAACAAATATAGTATAGAAAAGGGCCAAAAAATCAATATATTAAAAGGTGAATGAATATCCAGAAATGGCAAACTATGTCAAATGCAAAGAAAGTTACAACGTGGGCATCATATAGAATGAAATATGATTTACGATATAGTATGACTATAGCTATGGGAACGACAGCTGGTAGGTTGTCTGGGGCTTGTCTCGGGCACCGCTGTTCGCGTGGGCCACACTGCAATTCCAATGTAAAGAAGACCATTTTGGGATAACTCATGGCTAATGATCATCATCTCAAGTGTTGGCAATTGTCATACGCCCAGGCATGCGAGTTCCAAACGGCAGAAGAATTATTGAGATGATTTGCCAAAGTTGTTGTTGTTGGGTTTGCTGAGTCATTTCGTGAAACACTTGTTGCTGGGTGTTGATTTGAGGGCGCGGCCGATGCGTGCTGCGAATGTGATAAGTAAATACAAAAGATTCTTTCGGGTCGCATTCCAGAAGAAAGCTGTTCTAAAAGCCAAAAGCTGGGCCATAAATTGAAATGCGAAATATCTTTGATCTATGTCGAAAACAAGAGAATTGTTCAAAATTTGCAATGAAATCACGTTAAGTTTTGGGCAGAAGGCGAAGAAAGTATTCTAATGCTGCAAAAGGCACTGAACAGAATAATCAAGCAATAGACGTGAGATCATTTTATTAAGATAAGATCGCAGAGTTCTTTGACATTGATTTGACATTCAACATAGGGTTCATTTCTTATAAAAGTAAATTTGTATTTTGTGGACTTCAAGTATATTCCACAAATATTTCCCTTATCATTCTGTACTTATATATAATATGGGAATGTACTTATATATAGCTCAACTCATCATTCTTGATGATATCACAGCTAGTTAAACTATTTATTTATAGAAATTTGTGTTTTATTTAAGCTAATCATTTCGCATAATTCGCAAGGTCGTCATAAAATTAAAACCTGTTTTTTTCCATTAACTACCAAAAACGTTGACGCACTGCCAAAAAATGCACAAACAAAAAAAAAGCAAACCTAATGAGCAGAAGATTTCATTCAGCTTCAGTAAATTCATTGGCATGACAATCAATTGTCGCCTCAAAAATTCAATTTAAATATTAAAAACATATTTCACAGATGATAGTTCAGGAAATGTTTTGTATGCTCTGCATTTGTTAAGCTTGTTGAGTTATCAGAAAATAATAGAGATTAGTTTTTTTTTATGAATGCAAGAGAACAATTAAATGGGAATTTTGATAAAACATCGAAATTTGTGTATGAAATACTAGTTAATGTTTCAAACCGGTTTTATTTTATATGTTAAGTGGATTTTTGGATTTTTTAAGAATTTTTATTAGTATTCCTCAACACTTTAAAAAATTTGAATTTGGATAGGTTCTTAAACGCTTGAAACTGGAAGTTGGCAAGCTTGCTTTATAGGTACATTAAGCTATGCATCTAGAGTGGAATTGTCTATAGAATAATAAATTCGAAATTGCAATTCGTACATCTCAATTAGTTCAAGGAATAAACTGTTTCTGTTCAAATTTCAATCTGTTTCACACAACGCTAAAGCTGCGCTCTTTTATGGCGCTTGCCTCACTTTATGATGGCTCGTTTTTAATCAATTTATGCGCTGCGTTGGCCATAAAAGCACACTTAAAAATGATTACACAAATTTCACTGGGTTTATCTTGGCCACATTAAAGCGGCGCGCACTTGCGGCTTTAACAGTCATATTAAAAACGCATAATAAGCTTCAAATGTGTTTGCCAAATGATATTAAATTTATTAAGCCAGAGGAATTTGAATATTGATTAGCTTAAGAGACTGAAATTGGGTCTCTCTATATGCTAGGAAACTAATAATATATATGTAGCATATGAACTTCACACATTTCGTATGCAAATGGCCAATTGATGGCTGCTAACGCCGGGTCCAATCAAACAAATGGCCAACTAACCTCGTGCCAAGACCACATAGTAATTAATTAAACGAAGACTAGTACTTTACCAGTACATACATATACATATATAGAGAGAGATATATTGAGATATCTTGTGGCTAATGCTAATTGCATTGTCTTGCGGGAATTGTTTGCTTGTACCGCATGACGTATACGTAATGTGCATTTATGCAACCACACAGCTGCATGCCAAAGGGTGTGCGTGTATCTCTCTCTCTATCTCCCTCTCTCTCTCTCTCTCTCTCTCTCTCTCTTTGTCAGTTTGTGTGCGTGTGCATTCCATGCCTCAGTAAGCGTTGCAAAAACTGTAATAAATCAAAATATTGTAACCATCGTTCGATTTATTTGCGTGCATAGAAATATGATAAAATGTAGGCAGGCAACTCAACATAGCAACCTATGGGCATTGCTGATATACCCTGTAGATTTGTACAGTGGGGTGTATTGATTGAGAGGTAGAAGAAAAAATAAATAAAAGTAATTTTTATTAAGTAAAATTATATAATGGGAAAATTTTAGTTTTTATTCCAAACTTAATTAAGAAGTAATTCTAATATATATTGAGATATCAATATTCTAGTAAATCAAAAAATACTTCTATAGAATTATACAAAACCTCTGTATGACTTCTTAATATAGCTCCTAGTAGCTCCTAGAGTATCTCTCTAGTCATGCATATCCACCTGTTTCACTTCTTGATTTATAATTATATGCGCGCCCAGGCAAATAGTTGCTGGCAACCGATTCGATTTGCGTGCCAAAGCAAAGTCACGTTGCATTGTTTATATTGCAATTTATTTGGTGTATTTTATAAAGATATCTAAGAAAACAAAAGAAAGGCTAAAAGAAAATATTTTATAGCGGCGCGCGACATTGTCTCAATGTCTGCAGAAAGCGGGTGGCATTAATGGGAATATATATATAGAGAGAGAGGGCAAAGAGAGAGTGCGAGACAGAGAGAGATAGATAGGGCATGTAACCCATAGAAATGTAAATCGATCGCCCAAGAAATTAAAACAAAAAACTATGCAAATTAGCAAATTGCAAATGCCTGCGAAATAGTTGCATAAGCCACGGCCGACTGGACTGAAATGGGCGTAACAAAAGCGAAAAAAAACCCAAATAATCGATAGCCAATATATGGCCAATATCTCAGACAGCATATTGCCAAATGAAGAGATGAACGCTGCACTTGCTGCTACGACTGAGGCAATGCTGGCCAAATATATGAAAATATGTGAAATAACTATTCAAATATATGGCAGTAGATGAGTGCATGTATGTGTGTGAATGGGTGGGGTCTAAACACTCTAATCATATAGCTCAATAAACACTTTAGCCTAATGACATCATGCGAATAGCTGGGAAGATGTTTAGTTAAGATGTTTGGGTAAGATGAGCTTGTAATCTTGTGGAAAATAAAATCGAGCAGTCTATTAAATGAAACTAGGTTTTATTGAATCTATAGGAAAGCTTACTGATACGAATGTAATACATTGATAATCATATATCAATCTCAATATACTCCTAAATGCCATTAACATGTATGTTAATATGCATATGTTAAATTGCATATACATATGTATAAATTCATTTTCCTTTTATACTCTAAAAAAGCTGTGAGCCATGCAGTTTCTTTTTTTATAGCTAGTCTATAACTAGTCTCTATTTAAATATTATTCAAAAATTATTGCACTTATCTGGCGTATAATTTTATACCTTGACCTTCAGACCTTAAAGACGTCTCTGGGCCCCATCACACAGCGCGTTGCTTCGACTCATCATTTGGCTGATTTGAAACTAAAATTTTGTTATTTATATGCCAGACGTCTTTTGTTATACTTAAATCACCTGAATTTGTGCACCTTTGCATGCAAATAAATAATAAATAATTTATGATGGGGAATTTGATAGCTCAAAAACAAACCAAATTGGTTATCAATAGCAAAAGAAACAAATCTTTTGACATGAATAAAATCAAAAAAATAAAGAAATAAATAAATAAATAATAAAATAATAAATAAAATAAATGCAAATTTATATTATTATAATATATGCGTCACAATTTCTGTTAATTTCAATTAGGCAGCTGTCAGACAATGCAATATTAAATAAACATCATGAAAAGTCAAAGTTCCTCCCCCCTCCTGGGGGGAGCTTATCAACAACTATTTGATTTTCCAACTCAGCGCATTGGATTTTATCTCAATTAATTTGTGTTTTTTTTTTTTTGCCTTGCATTGCTAAATTTTAGTGTCAGTTGCATTTAATTTTATTTAATGTATTTATTTACAGTATGTAAATATTTTCCACTGCGGAAGAGCTAACAGATTTTTAATTAAAAACTTTGCGACTTTGTCAGGCAGCCAGACAGGCAAACCGAACAAGCCAATTATATTTGATGGTCAGCTTATGCAGATAGAAAAAAAAATGAATGAAACTAGTTAAAGTTTGCAAAATTCATTTTGTTATGTAAAATTTTTGTAAGAAGTGTAGTTAGTAAAGTTTCTAGATTTTTTTTTTTCAATTTAAAAAGCAAAATAAATTGTTTTTAATTGTTGAAGATTTTTTATTTAATATTTAAATGCTAATGGAATTTTAATGCAGTTCGCAGAGTATTTATTAAATAATAATAAATAAATAATAGTAATAAATAAAGTATTTATTAAAAAATTTATGAACTTAAGACATAATTTATTTTATATCTATTTTTTTTAAATTTTTTTTATTTTATTTTATTTAATTCTATTTTATTTTTTTTTGTTTATTCTTTTTAAATTTTTTTTTTTTATTTTATTTTATTTATTTTATTTCTTTTTTTATTTTATTTATTTTATTTTATTTATTATATTTTTTACTTTTTTTATTTTATTATTTTTCATTTCATCTATGACTCACTTGCATCAATTTACATATCCAGAGAACTTTACTTAATCTCAATCTCTAATATCACATTTATAGTCTTAAGAACTTTATCAAATAGATCTACTTTTGCACTCCCAGCTAAATAAGCATACAGATTGATGTGAATTTCCATAAACGGCCGAGTGTTGTTGATACACATATAAAAATCCAACTAGTTTGACCGCAAAAAAAATAAATAAATAAATCGCTGCAGATGTTAAAATATGCCATTAATTGTAACACCTGCTCGATGAAGGTGAGCTAGTGGCTTTTAGACAAACCTAATGGCCGCGACAATTTATGAATGTGTGGCATATTGATGGGGCATGCAACAGATTAGCTGTCGCTGATGGTTGGCGGAAGAGTTTCTGTTGTCGCATAAACTGAAGTTGGCCGATTGCATAATCGAGCCATTGAAAACTCAACCAGCTACGCACTCTCACTCACACACACTCTCACCTCCTCTCTCCCTCTCTCTCGCTCTCATTCTCTGCAGCATGCGGGAACGCAGTCAAACAACGCCGCGTCGTCGTCGCAATGGTCCCAAGCAGGCGCTGCCCGTCGAGTCCAACTACCAGTTAGAGCCGACCGAGGCCATTTATGGCTCGACTCTGTTGCCATCGCAGCGTCGCTTTATGGATCCGTGGGATTTGGAGAATTACGATTATGTGCGCAAGAAAATGGACATGGACAACATTTTGCCAGACTATGAAACGGCGCTGGACTACGACCTGGCGCCGTCGCAGTCGCCCAGTCCAGTCTATGGTCACAGCAGTCAGCCGGTCATGGCCTCTACCATGCCACGCCCACACACCAGACGCGTGTCACGCAGCCAGTGCCAGCTGGAGTGCTGTCGCCTGCCCCATCTGGGTGACAGTCGCACTCGCAATCGCAGCCGCAGCCGCAAGGAGCTGCTCTATGCAGCACGCAGCGAAGTCTATGGCCCAGCGCCGATATCGAGTAGATATGATGACTATATGGCCACCATGACCAGGCAGCTGCATCTGGATGACGATGACATCGAGCAAGAGGAGCAGGAGCAGCTCTATGGCGAGCAGCGACAGATATATAATGGCTATGGAGGTAGGTCTGGTATAACGGATTCTCTCTTCTCTCTCTCACTCACTTTCTCTCTCTTCTGCCTTGTCAGGCTTCTCCAGCGCCAGTTCCACGGAGCAACACTCCTCCATTGGCGATGAGCTGCCCTCGCTGGCGACGCTGCCGCGTCGTGCCGCCACACTGCAGCGTCCTGCGCAGCAGAGCCAGAGCAGAGAGCGCATGGGCTACAACAACTCCAACTATAGTTCGGGCTATGGCACTGCGCCGCATCCGCGACGCAAGCGTAGCCAGGCCACTGGCAAATCCTTGGCCATGACATCGGCCAAGGCAATGCCACAGATTGATTTTCCAGCACCGCCCCCGCTCTCGCCCGCGTACGACTATTGCAATCCGTATGCTACACTGCCGTATTGCAGCGTACCGGATTGCGCCGAGTGCCAGCAGCAGGCGACGTCCCTCATCTATGCGGCACCATCCACACTCTACGGACGGACGGGTGGAACGCAAAGCGATTCGCCAAGCGACTCATCGCTCTACGCCGGAATTTATTCGCGTAAATTTGGCTTGAGCAAGAAGGGTCTGCTGCAGATCGATTATTCCTGCAGTTGGAATGATTTGGATCGTGTTATGGGCCGTCAGTACTGAGTGCCCACTGTACGGCACTTGGGTCATGGGTGTTTGGTTTTAGTCTCTAGTTAAACTATTTACATTAAGAAACATCGATCAAAACAAAATGAAAGTAAAACCCATTTGTACGTAAATCACTTCACATGCATACATATACATATATACATACATATCTAATTGAAAAGAAAAACATGCATCAACCCGTACCAAATAATTTAAATTGTGTTTAGCATCGCTCTTAGTCGCTCTCCAAGTCACGCATCTAACGTGCAACAAGTCTTTGAGATTAACGAATAAAATTGATTTTACAAATAATGTATATATATTTTTGTTTTGATAAAAAAAATAATATAATAATAATGATAATAATAGATAAAAAATATATTTTTATATATTTAAATATACATTTAAGATATTTAAATAAATTATAGCTAAAGCTCTTTATGCAGCCACTCAATAATTCGTGCGCTCGAAAGTATGCTGCATATTTTTGACAATTGCAAATTCATGAACAGCACAAAAGTAGGCAATGATTTTTTCCACACTTGAGATGACAGACACATACGGAACCTCATATTCATTTTGCTTTGTCTCTTCATAAAAGCTTAGAGAACTTCGACTAATATTGCAATAAGTAAAGCATTTTGAAATTAACTTATTGTTATTTGTTTTTCATACGAAAAATAAAATCAACAACATATTGTCGATATATTAAACAAGCTCATCTGATATCAAATAGATTGATTTACTTCCATTTGAGCACACTTCCAAGCAAATTACAAAATAATTAAAACTGATTTAGAACGATGACATTTGGCAATTGATTGCAGGCATTAGGCAACGCCCCATTGCCGAAATTCCCAATTTCCATATTGCACTTCGTTTTCTGTTGTATACCACGCCCCAGCTAAAAGTCGGAAAATGTGGGTTTTGGGGTTAAGTGGTGCCCAAAATGTTGAGGAAATTCATCAAAGTCAGCGTAAACATGCTTTCCACGTTATTTGAAAATTGTCAAAGCTAATGACGTCGTCCGCCAAGCGATGACTTTGCGTAATTGACCACCACATGAGCGAAAAAAAAGCAGAGAATTGGAAAAATTGTGGAGCAGGAAAACTGAACAGAGCCTCGATGACGTCATAATTAATTAAAGTGAAACGATGGAATTTCCACGAAAAGGACGTCTAATACCCTGAACGATAGGGCATTATGCTAGGCGCGCTGAAGCTGTAAAGGAGTCTCAGGGGGCTTTAGGAAATATAGTTTTTATTATGGTAACTACGAGCTGTTTCCATATGGCAAGTTTTTATCATAGCAAAAAATAGTAAAGTATTTAGTTAAATATAGCATAGAACATTATAAAGCATTAATTATCAATTTGTTATGGATTATAAATAATGTTTAGAACTTAACTTATAAATCGTAAAGAGAAAAATTATTTGGCATATCTAGAGAGTAACCAAAATTCGTCACATTTAATCTTCTACTCCAGTTCGTTTTTTTTTCTCCCATGTTGCAATGGGCGCATAAATTAGTCAGAAACGAAGCTCTGGGCCCATGAACGCTGTAATTTGTTAAAAAGCAGCTGCAAATTGGACACATCTTACGAAGTTAATTAGCTGCTACCGGGCAGCCACTGAATAATGCATGAAGAGCCTGAAACGAACGCTAAGTGAATAAATTCACAATGGTGAATATTAAATTTAATGGTGGGCTGGATGACACAGGAAAATGCTTAGCAAACTCTTTGCTAGAAATATATTTTCTAGGAATATACGTATTATTAGGGCGTTGCCATATTAATTAAAGCAGGCCATATTTAAGGAGTTAAAGTGGATAGAAGAGGACTTTAAAGTCTTGTTCTTTACAGATCTCTCTCTCTCCCTTTCTCTTTCTAATAATCATTATAAAATATCATTTTATCATTATAAAATATCATTTTTTTTTTCCAGAATCCTTAGGCGTACCATCTGAAATCAATTTCTCAACTATTTTTCTTGCACGGTTTATAAACTTTTACAATTCTCCTTTGGCAAACAATCAACTACAAAGTAATGTCATGTAAGTACCTTAGCTATAATGATTTTCTCGCCTCTTTCTATTACATATTGATGGCTCGGGTCAAAAACTATGTTTCAGACATCCTTTGAGCAGTTCCCTTTGGGCAAACTCATTAAACTTTATGGGCTGAATGTAACTTTGGCTTGAATATCTGCCACATCAGTTAGGCAAACAGAAAGGCTAACACACACACACAAACACACACACACTTAAGCAGATATGCTCTATTTAGTCTACATGTATTTATATGTATATATAAAATCGATAAGGCAAATAAGACAAGAAAATTTCAATTGCTGGCGAACTGTTTTACAGTTGCTGGCATTTTCTTCTCTTTTTTTCATCGTACGCTTTTCCAATGCTGTGAACGCGATTTCAATTTCTCAATCCAATTTACCTTTGCAATACCCAATGCTCAGTACCAATACCAATTCGTATACCCTGTATGTGTGTGTGTATATATGCGTCGTATGCCGTATTCAACTGCAAGCACAAGAACAAATACAAATACCAATACGAATGAGAAGACAAACACAAAGCGCAAGTAAATCACACAAAAAAAGAAAAAGAAACTGAAGGAATTCAGCATGCATAAAAAGCAAGAATATGAAGCGTATAAAGACAGACTAGCAGATACCCTGTATTTGAAGAGATAGGAGAAGATAGAGGAATGGAAATATTATTTTTTGTTTGTTTTGTAAATACATAGTTAAATATAAAAGTACGCCTAGCATACCCAGTAATATTTGCATTATACATGTTTGCTTATTAAATTAAATATACTCTAAATTCTCTACCCAATACTATATATTCCTTCAAATTATTTTCAATATATGAACATATATATTTCCATAAATACTACTGTATATATCTACCTGGTATTGTAACAATAAACATCATATAAAAATAAATACTCTTCAATCTTAGATTTAAATTCCTCTTTCGATCTTTAAAATATCTCTGGATATTCTCTGCAAAGCTCCTTTAGCATTACTGCTCGTTAATTGTTTGACTCTTGTAATACCCTGTACTTCTTAAGTAAGTTATCTACACTTGTTATCCATTACTTATGTCCATATATATATCTACAGGGTATCTAGCCTCTGAGCTCTAGTATAAAAAACAAATTTCAGCTCACTGAAGCAGTGAGCGCATTAGATGAGTGAGATTGCGCTGGGGTTGGCTTGGGTTTGGTTGGCTGGGGTTTGCTGGGGTCGGGTGGCGCTCTGGTACCATCGCTTGGGAAATGCACATAAAAGCGCAAATATTTGCGCAACAATTTCAAATATCGTCGCAGACGTTGCGATAAAAATCGAACATGCTACAACAACAACAAAAAATATGCAAAATGAAACGCATAAAAAAATCTAAAGGGGGCAAAATACGAAATACACGCAAAAGCTGAAATAAAGAAAGATGAAAATATCTTTCTGCTCGCTTGATATGTACATATAGACGAGCACAAATATATACATTTTCCTTTTTCCTTTTTTTTCGTTTTTGCTTTATGCTTTTTGCATTTGCTGTTTACTTTGTGTGCTCGGATTTGCTTTTATTATCGCATAACGTCAAACATTTGCATGCGGCGGCGCCTAAATGTATGCCACAGTTTCTGCTCGAATGCGCCTAAGCAGTTGCGCCACTCCCCATCTCCCCCTTCGTTGGGCACCCAGAACCCATTAGCATTTGCATTTATGTGCGGCGCCAGCACGAACCTAGCGACCCCACCGACCCCACCTGCCCTCCGGCCCCTTGCCTATTCAAACTTTATGTGGACATGCAAATCGAGGCGCGAATATTTCGCACTTCACTGATTCGAACCGAACGATTCAGGACCTTTGCGCGCAACGTGTGCCACATTTTGGTGTCCTGCCTGCCTGCCTGCCATCGAGAAAGGTGTTCAATTGCCACAGTCAGGTGGACAAGTCGTAAAAAATGAAAAACCAAATTGCATTCCAAATAACAGTTTCAACTCTATTTAGCCTGTGCTTGTATGGATTTTCCGTTCACAAAAGTGTTTATATTAAAGAAACCAAAGTATCTAATACTTAATCTTAAATAATACTTAAACAATTCGAATTTCTGGCAAAAGAGTTTCTCAGAACATCATGAAATATTCCTGCATGCACATTGTAACCGGATTTGTCACAGCTTTTCATTGTAACGGAAAACTTAAAATGCGCGCTGGGTTTTTACATTTTTTTTTCTCTTCTTCATTGCTATGATCTCCATTTTTTTTCGCTGAAAGAAATTTTATATATACGAAAGTGGAAAATTGTCAATTCCTGTGCGCAAATTGCATTTTAAGTGTTGCTCGCAGTAGATGCTGTCTATTCATTCGCTGAAGTTTTTTAAATAAATGCATTTGGAATGAAGATAAACGAGTTAAAGCGCACAAATGCTAATTTTGATCAACTAAATACAGTTAGAGTAAAGTTTGAGAGAATGTTAAAGACAATGTTAATGAGAAGGTCAATCGTAATGACAATGGCAATGATATTAAGAGAAGATTAATAGTAATGACAATGAGAATGGCCATGCAAATGACAATGATTGACAATGGTAATGCAAATGACAATGATAATGACGATTACATTATAGCAATGACAATGGGAATGAAATTGGCAATGCCAATGACAATGATAATGATAGTGTTAATGACAATAATGAAAAGGACAATAGTATAGACAATGATAATAGCAATGCAAATTACCATGACAATGATGATCACAATGACAATGGCAATGGCAATAACAATAGCAATAATAATGACAATGACAATAAAATGAAGAATGCCAATGACAATGACAATGATATTGGCAATGCCAATGACAATGGGAATGAAAATGGCAATGCCAATGACAATGACAATGATATTGGCAATGCCAATGACAATGGGAATGAAA